CATTTAAAGGCTCAGGAAACCTTTGCAGGTGTTTTGAGTTAATTAACTGATTAGAGTGGGACATCGTGAGTCTACAATATTGAACTTTTTCACAATATTCTAATTTTCTGAGCTGTACCTGTAAACTGGTGCAAGGCCGAGTGCATTAAAAACAAGTTAAATCATTTTAAGATCAGTGCAGAAACTAACAGGCAAGGTCGGGGTGGAGCTGTTCCTATACACTCTCAGGTAGGTTCAACACAGCATATTTCATAAACTGATAATCTTAATTGGCATCTAAAATCTAATTGCTCACATGAGCAGATGTTAGCAAACATATCTGGACCATGCACCCATTGCACCCAACAGAATCATTTTCCTTTGTAAAATGAATTTATATTCTGTCACGCCTGGCAGCTGAAGAGTTTAATTTTGTAACTCAGTTTGTAATGTTTGTGAAGATTCAGTTGTGATTCTTCCAGATATGTAGATGTGACAATTCATGAACATACCTACATATCACTGGCGGACTCAGGGACATGACATGATAAAGTTCCCTCTAGGGTTTTCTTCCAGTGGAGAAAATGCTAATTCAAACCCTGATTAATTTGTTTCACGTATACACTGGTGCCCTTTTTATTATTTTTGCCCTGCCACTTTTCCTCACACTGGACAGGTCAGGGAAGATGAAGAACTCTGAGGTATAACCTCAAGCCAGGTTGGTATATTTGCACTGCTGCCTCTTCAATATAGCACAGGAGCTTCCTTTCTGGACTTTTCTTCTCCTGGCAGGTCAGTTCTGAGAAAAGGAGTTTTCAGCTTTTCAGGTTGAATCCAAAGCTCCTTAAGGAGGCTTTTAGGGTGTTCCTGAAGCACTTTTTTGGGCCACCTTTTGCTCGCTTGCTATTTTTCAGCTCGCCTTTTGGGGGTTTCAAAGCATCTAGAAAAGCATTAGGAGGGCATGCTAGAGATACTCACGCCTCAGCCAGCTCTGCCCTCTCCTCTGTACGTTCCAGCTCTCCTTCTACGATCACCAGCTTACGAGCCACCTGGAAAAATGCATTATATATACATTATAAAGCACCAGACACATCACAGGCATAAACATAAAAACAAAATCAACTCCTTGGTAGTCACCAGTAAAACACCATCTGGAAGGCTATATTATTGTCAATAGTGCTGTAAAAAAACACTACTGTAGCAGTACAAAAAACTCCTCTCAGATGTTGATCATCATACAGTGGTCGTCAATAGAAAACTTGTGCTTGCTCATGGTGGTACTGTTGGGTCTCTGTAAATGTTATAAGGAGTTCGGTCTAGACCTGCTCTATTTGAAGAGATAACTTCTGTTATGAATTGGCGCTATACAAATAAAATTTTATTGAATTGAATTGAAAACTTACCTCCTCATATTTGCGGTCAGCCTCCTCTGCGATGTGTTTAGCCTCCTTAAGTTGAATCTCCTGCAGCTCCATCTTCTCTTCATCCTTCAGAGCCCTGTTCTCAATCACCTTCATACCTCTGCACACACACAGACCATTACTTATTTCTTGTACAGTACGAATATTTTTATAATTTAGTATAATTTTAATTTATTATTATTATTCTATTCTGCAAAGCTAAGAAAGAGGTACATTACAGATTCATCTTGTGTTAGAATACTTATCATATAAAACTGGTCTGGCCTAGCAATGAATGGTGTTTCAGATCTGGTAGCCACATATGGCCCATGACGTAGTCATATCTCAGCCAAATATATGATCATACTTGGTCCTATTCTGGCCCTATATTGGCCATATGTTGCTGTATTTGGGCTGTATGTGGGCCATCACTGGGCCACACCAATTTTGCTATGTAGGTATATACACAAAGCGGTTAAAAATGATTAAATCACAGCAAGAAGTCACCTCTCGCTCTCATCAGCAGCCTTCTCAGCCTCCTCCAGCTTCTGCAGAGCCGTTGCCAGTCTCTCTTGAGCTCTGTCCAACTCCTCCTCCACTAGCTGGATACGTCTGTTCAGGGAAGCCACTTCTGCTTCAGCCTAAGCACAGATGAGCATGATGCAAACTGATTCAGACAAACCAGCATTCTTTTACATAGGATTCAGAATAAATGTGTAATTGACCCTTCCAAAGTCATGCCCTTTTTGGAACCTCTGTCAACTTTCTCTTTTCCTGTACTGGCACTGGTTATCATGGCTCCTGTCAGTGGGTGGGATGTATCAGGCAGCAAGTGAACATTTTGTCCTCAAAGTTGATGTGTTAGAAGCAGGAAAAATGGGCAGCGTGAGGATTGGAGCTTTCACTAGAGAAGAGCTCATAAACATCAGGGGAACAACTCCACGCTGACTCTTCCCACTTTTCATCTTTCTTCCGCTGGAATTACTGGACATTAGTGGTCCAAAGGTCGCGCTCACCTTTGCTCACGCCAGTGAAACGCCAGGAGAAAGAGGAGGACGTGCCGGTGCGCTTGTGCGTCTCCAGCCAGCGCAGACATTGCACCACGAGTTACCCTGGAATCATTCCTCCTCCAACGTGCGCTCACTGTGCAATAAAAAAGAGAAAAGAGCGAACTTCAGCTACTTCTGCGGGAAAAACAGTGACTTTTCTTCATCCTCTGTTTAGCTCAACGGAGACGTGCGCTGCGTGTTCCAAACTCATTCAGAGGCGGATCGTGACAACGGAAACTCCCGGCAAAACAAAGGGTGGAAGGTAGATCTGGTTTTTACGACGCGGGGTGACAGTGATCCAGCACACGCTGCGATCTACCTGGAATCATTCATCAATAAAACTGTAAACCTTTTTACTCTCCCCCCGTGAGTGTTTAATCATGTCTGGTCGGGTGTTTACATTCCACCGCAGGCCAAACGTGCAGGAACGCACCAGCGCAACGCCGCCGACCAGATACTGTGAATGGAGCGGACTAACCCAGACTCGTTAGTTATGTCCTTGGTGACTTTAATAAGGGAAACCTCAGTCACGGACCTTCCTAAAATAAACCAGTTTATTAAATGCACCGACCAAGAGCAGAGGAAGTATACTGGACCACTGTTACACTACAGTCAGCGGAGCATAATCACGCCGACCCCCGCGCCGCGCTGGGCCTCATCCGACCACAGTCATGGTCCACCTGATTCCACTCATACTGGCAGAAATTGAAGCTCTGCAAACACTGCTGTGAGACATCAAAGCAGTGGACCAGTGAAGCCTGTGGAGGATCTCCAAGGCGTGTTTGACTCTACTGACCTGGGATGTGTTTCAAGGACTGTACTAACAGCCTGGATGATAACACAGAAGCTGTGACGATCATATATCAGCTTCTCGTGAGGACTGCTGTATGTCCATCACGGCCAACCAGGGTTAGTAACAAACAATGACAAGACCCGGTCACAGCCAAACGTCATTCCAGCTACTTACGGTGCAGAAGGAGCAAGCGTTCAGGGAGTGGGACAGGGACAAGTTAAAGGAGTCAAGAGTACAAAGTTTAGCGAAGGCGGTGAAGAGAAGCTAAACGACAGGTACTCTAGAGAAACTTCAACATCAGCTTCTCAGCCAATGACTCTGGTCTGTCTGGGAAGGGGCTCAGGACCAGATAACTAACGTACAAGCCCAAAACCCCCCACCTCCATCCAATGACCTGCGGCACCTCAAGCAGGACTCTTTAAGAAAGCAGAAATCCCGCAAAGCAGCCGGGAACCAGATTCGGTGTCTCTCCATCCACCCTGAACCCGCATGGCTGGACCAGCTGTCTCCGGTGTTCAGCTGCATCGTTCAACACAGCCTCTTTGGAGATCGGTAGTGTCCATGTGCCAGCCTGCGTTCAAAGCATCCACCATCATCCCTGTCCCCAAGAAAGGCAAGGACCAGCGAGAGCGACTAAATGACTACAGACCGTGGCCCCACCTCTGTGGCTCATGGAAGTCTACTGAGCGCCTGTGCTGTGCGCCAGAGCGCTGAAGACCGCGCATGAACGAGCGCGACGCTCCTGGAACCCCTGCAGTTCGGCCTACAAGAGACGAACAAGGTCTGTAGGACGATGCAGTAAAACATGCGACCCTCCGCACTCACCCTCCAGGCATCTGAGGAGAGGAGATAACGCCATCTGGTGACCTAGGGTGCAGAACCAACCCTGCCCACTCAAAAAAGATTATTTTTGGCCCGAATAAGCATGGAAACAATATTTAAAGTAAAAATGTAAGTGAAATATACGAAAACTGAAGTTAAAAAAAATAAAATAAATAAACATAATGGTGAATGCTACTAGTAAAACGAAATGGAAACAAACTGAGTAAACATTTATCGTGACTGATCACGAAGGCAGTTATGTGCATCACACACCGCACAGATACTACGGGGTAAGGTAGTGCTGGAAGGGTAGACAAAGACCGACCAAAAACCCCTGGGATATTCGGTAAGGAACCTCCACTATATGTCTGCCTACTACCGGAGAATCTGTCACAGTGGTTGCTTAAGTATATCTGCTTCGTTGAGACAAAGGACAGTACAAAGTACAGTGAGACACTCGCATGTAACTTACTGCCGTCGGCTGATAAGCCACATTATGGCGTCGCATGGTTTAGCAAACGGCTCGGCTAGCATGAGGCATAATAAAATAATAAATAATATTATGGATTATAAAGAGGTGGAAATGTCTATAAAGTGTGGAGATATTTAGAGCATATTCCTTCCTCTAGTCATCCAAGAATCAGAATCAGAAATATTCGTTTATGCACATAGTAGGTTTTTTACAGCCTATATGACCTTGGGCAGTTGGTGCCATAAAATCATCACACAATACTGAAGTACAAGAAATACAAAGGTATACGAAATATCAAATTCAAGCACAGAAAAAAAATCACACAGAAAATAAATTACTTTCAAAAAAGTAAATAGATTAAAGATAAAAGAGAAAGAGAAGCCGTGCAGAAGAACGTGGGTTTGCATTTAATGTAATGCATCTTTACTATAACAGGGTGGGGATATAAAGAGTCAGTCATTTGGAAATGTTGTTTATAAAGGAAAAATGTAATGTTAAAAGTTTTAAGGTGGTTCATTTTTTATTGCAATGTGAATGTTAAGCAGAAGCTACTCAAGATACAGGACATTAAGCAAACACTGGTATAAACTTTTTTTCTTTATTATAAAATAATAGCTGAATATTTTGCTAGCATTTAGGGTTAATCAGGTGAATGCCGTCTGTCATTTGCATCTTTAAATGCTACTAAGTTTGACTCATGTTCCTTAACTTTACAGTCATTTTGAAACTGAAGGATGTTTTACAAATGTAATGTTCTTAAAAAGTTTAAGTTAATTTTTTATGTTTCTACATATAATTTTATTTTTACAAATATTACATGTTAATGTTACAATTCATGAATGTCTGTTTTACATTCAAAGCATGACCACTGAGTTGACTCTGTGATCTCGTCAGATAATAGCAGTTTTGTGAACTCTCGTGTCATCTGTGACATTGGCGCACAGGAAGTGATTTGTTTTACCTGAAGACTAAGTAGACGACAACAGTTCTGCTGCATGTTGTCCTCCCTCAGTCTTGAGGTTAACAAATTTTGCCTGATGTGCAACCAACCGGGGGGATGTGCACGGACGACCAAGAGATTCAAAACACATGCATATATGGGAAATACAGAGTTATGGTGGAGCTGATTGGAAGTTGACTCTGTGGGAGCCTTCCGCTTCCTGGGTACCATCATAACCCAGGACTCAAGTGGGAGCTGAACTCAGCTCCCTTCACAAGAAAGCCCAGCAGAGGATGTACTTATGATATTTTGGTGTGATTGTATATTTTAAGCACCAATTGCACAAGACAATTTTCCTCGTAGTGTTAAAACCTACCTGGCCAATAAATCTGATCTCTAACTTCTGAAATGGAACAGACAGACTGACGGATGAAAAACCTAAAAACGAAACTAAAAAATGCAGCCAATCAGCACTTGTGCAAATCGCATTGGCGGAGGTCAT